GAGAGAGAGAGAGAGAGAGAGAGAGAGAGAGATTGAATTTGTTATTATTAATTTAAAGTTAAGTTTTTAAGTAACTTAATATAAAACATAAATAATTACACATTAATCGTATGTATTTCTAGTGAACATATAGCTATGAAATTAGTTTTATTAATTAAGTAAATATTGTGAAGCAAAAAATTAGTACTGTGAATTAAATAGAGAATTGAAATTTTATATGTGATAAATTGTTACAATGATATTCATAAATGATAAACTACATATTTAGTCAAATATATCATAAATCAATGGATTAAATATTTAAATAACATTCTTAATTAAACCACCTGTCCAGATTTAAACAAATTAATTATTTATTACTGCTTGTTATAATTTAATCATAATACAATGCACATCTAATTATGCCTAATAATGTAATTTAAAATTATTAATTTTAAAATTGCGTGTTTAAATAAAATTACAACTTGAACAGCTATTTGTATTGAACAATAAATAGCAATTTATAAAGTACAACTACATTGATAGAAAAATTTATAAATAATATGTATTGCATATTAATTATACATAACGCATGTCTATTAGCAATAAATATACCTACAAACGAGATAAGTTTTGAAGTTAGCTATACTTTTAAACATGTTGTCAAAACATGATTATATCAATATTTATAACTTTTTTAGACATTTTGAAAATTATTATGAAAATATATGCATATTTTTTACATGTTAGTTAACAGTTATAATAAAGTATTGTTTGTTGTGATCGACAAACACAACACTTAATAATGAAAGTATTGGTAAATTTAAATGGATGTGAAAACTATAGTATTCGTATCAATCGTACGGATAGTGCGGTTGAATTGCCATTCAATGAAGTTTACAATGAAATTCGCAAACAAATCAAACACAACATCACATCCAATACCCATGTCTTCGAGGTATACATGGATTAAGTCTACTAGTGTTTACAATTGTCTATCATTTTTTATTAAAATTTTTTTGTGTATTTTAATTTTTAATTAAACATTTTTACTATAATTTTATTTATCACCAGATATTTGATAAAGACTTCAGTGAATACTGTATTATAACGAGTGATAATCACGTGATTAAAAACCTGTCGCGACTACGGGTGAGGACAAAGACTGTGAGCAACGAGTCCATAGGTTTAGGCATTAATCGGGACTCAAATGTTGGCCACAAATACAGCCATAAAATACAGTACGAGAAAAATGAGATCAACTTAAGTGAAAACAACATTAATAAATGTGAGGACAGTATTAATGATTACGAGGACAGGGAGGAGAGGGAGGGCTCGATCGCTGGTGATAGTTGTTTCCAAAGTGTCTACACTGATAGTGAGATTAATAGCGATACTCTGTGGCCATCGAAACCTCAATCACCTGCACCTCTATTGCCACAAAAATTACCCCGAAATGTGATTAAAAAATTTAACGCCGAGAATGGTATCAAGGTAGTGGACAGGGATGAAAGCTCTGGGTTATTCGTTGAATTTCCAGCCGTTACCACACCTGCCATAGACCTGAACAGCCATAGAGTACGTTACTGTTTCGATAACATTATAACAAACGCCGGGTATTTTGTTAAACAAACGGCACGACTGCCCGCAACTGTAACCCCTAGTGTTGGCAATGAGGGGCAAAATGTAAATCACTTTTCATCATTTATTCAAACGTCTAAACCTTTATCAACACATATACCCTCGTTATTAGCGCCGGGCTCTCACCCCTCGGCGCCCATCAACTATCTGGGCGTTGAACTCAATTTAGACACTTTCGCCACAACCGCCAGTTCCCCACACATGGCATACATTACTTTCACAGCATGTGTGAGTAAAGTATGGGTGACGGGTATGTTGTTTATGTTGGCCGATCACCGGGCGGTCATACGGTTAATGCATATATTGAAGACAAATACCGGCGCCAATGATTCAGACGTTATCGTCAAACAAATGACTAAAAGTGGTTTAAATAACTGGAATTACGAAAAGTGTTTGAATTACTTTTACAATGCATTAAAATTATATAAAAAGGTTTTAGTGAATTCATTGTGATATTTATTTTATTGTTATTTAATTTATATTAATATTACTTTTGCTGCCAGTGTTTAGCGAACTGTCCAAATCGGGAGACGGCGGTCACTGTTTACCCCCTGTTTAACACAATACACTCATTTGTACCCTATTTTCTTATAAATGTCAAAGAGTTTGCAAAACTCAACGAATTGAAGCGATTGTTTGATGAGAGATGCGGCGAATGTCACACCATTTTAAACACTAACGGTAGCACAGATCCAATAGATTGTAATATGACAGACAACGGGTCGGATTATAATTACACATCAAACCCACTATTAAACAATAGTGTAGATCCAACTCGCGGTAGTGAACAGAACCCGATTGACTACTTGGGACTACCGGTGACGGGCAAACAGTTTACGGTAAACACCAGTTCTCCGCACTTGCCGTACATGACTGTCATTATTAAAGTGAAAGGCGTGTGGTTTAGGACCGGGCACTTTGGTGCCGCCAACCACTTGGCCCTCAATCTACTGTTACAACTGTTGGATAAACACCGGCCCACCAATGGTAGACCTATGACTGATACCGAGTGGACGCGTGTAGCCAACAATATGCACAGTATTAAAGATCCCAATAAACCCGATGTGGTGTTTGACCCGAAACTGTGCCAAAACTATTTGCAAAACGCTTTGGACTTATATAAAAAAGTAAATTTTATATAAAATGCAAATTGATCTTGACAATATTTTGGTTTTTATTATTACAGATATTACATGAGTGTCGAAACATGGATAGGGCCGGCATAGCGTTCCCCATGTTTCATACATTTCACATCTTTAATACTGTATCCGTTGTATCGGACGACGAGTGCCACGAAATTAAACGATTGCGTGAATTGTTTAGCAAAAAGTGTAAAACAGGTCCTTATATCGATGAGGACAACGTATCTGCTCTACCGGTGCCCTCACAGGCCCCAAATGACTCCGCACTTTGGCCAAAATCATGCCCAAACACATGCGAAGTGGACGCATTTCGCAAAGCTTGTGCCAATATTACCCAGGAGGATTTTGATGCATTTACTCACCTGTGCCGCAGTGTTGACGACACGGTTAAAACGTTGGGTCCGTTTGAAGAGAACCGGGAGTTGTTTTGGTCACACGTATGGCAGCTAATGCTTGAGTCCGGTTACGGTTCATTAGATAAGAGCACCTGCCGTCTCATGTTTACCCAACACGTGGGCCAATATTATAAAACTGTATGTATTAGTGCGAGAGAGAGAGAGAGAGAGAGAGAGAGAGA